GAGGGCAGTGTCACTGGCCCTCATATGTGGGATCCGAACCGGGGCCCTCTGGCGTCCCAAGCCAGTTCTTAACCACCGCGCCACTCGGCCAGCCCTCAAGATGTTTTATAGCCAAAGACATTTGTGTACATGGCTAATTCTATTTTTGGACGCTTCCCACAGGACTTGCTTCTTTAATCAGTTCATAGATCATTGATATTTCTGTCCATGGCTTTGGGTGGAGCAAAGAAACCATACGTAATCTTATGCTCTGTAAATTGTATCATCTTGCCAGTACTCAATACATTGTGGAATCATCTCTTAGAACAATATGGTAGTTTATCAACAAATATTAATAGTAGATGCTGTACCCGAATCCCTTCCAAGGATAAGGCTTTAGGGCAACAGAAAGCCAGGCTGTGTATGAAGAATCATTTGGTGAGCCAGCAAATAAATACACATGGAGTGTAGAAATAAATGCTTCTTCAGCCCAAGATGTGGCCTGTTTGGGGCCAGGCTCAGAGGAGTAGTGTGTCCTACCAAACAGCAGTGACCATGTTCCCACCATAGAATAAGTGTGCCGTGTCTTGATCTCCCTATGGTTGTTCAAAATGGTTTTAGCTATCAGCCATTGCCAAGTTTCTGGAAAAATACTGGGAGCACCAGAACATCTTTATCTTCTCTGCTTACAAGGGCAATGGGCTAAAAAGGGAAAAACCTGTAATAAAAACAGCCAAGTAGCCACTTTGAACCTCATGATCCAGAGAGAATCAGCCTCCTAGCTTCAGTTCTGCCTTTGCTGACCATGTAACCTTGGACTAGTAGTGTAACCTCACTGATCTTTAGTTCCTCATTTGTGTGAGTGATACGTTCCATGGGTATCCCACAAACACATGAAAATGAAGTGAAAGATGCAAAACTGTTTTGTTGAATATAAAACCCTACACCAGTGAGAGGGTCCTTTTTAGTCTTTTCTAATGACACAGTTAATATTTATTATTCATTACCAAAAAATCCAAAGATTAGATGTGCATGAGGTTTAAAAACAACCCCCCTCACCTATTATTAGTCTCCAGAATTGACCACATTTGATAATTTGGTGCTTATCTTTATATACTTTATGAATACATGTGTATGGTTGTGTGTGTGTGTGTACTTTTTTTAACAAAAAAGGGATCATAGCTTATACTAATCAGTAAAATACTATGCAGTGATTTTTTTTGTGAGGTAAATTGTCATATATGCACATGGAACAATTATATTTTATGTGAAAAAGTTGCAGAACTACATTTATAATATTTGTGTAGACACAGAGTATATGATTTCCTCTGGAAAGAATATATTGCCAAGGACTACTTTTACTTCACACACTTCTCTACCATCATAATTTTTTATCTTAAGCATATATACTTAAACAATAATTATCAAAGACTGTAAGAGAAAGTGGAGCATAAGTCAACAAAATGGAGACAATGTGATACTATCGAAGATGTAAGTATAAAAGGTAGACCAGAACAAAAAAAGTATTGGAAGGGAAGAATATGCAAAAGAAATTGGAAAATAAAATAAAGGAAGCAAAAATGAAAGTAGTCATGATATGATTTTCAAAAGTATTCATTAGGGAATAGAAAAACGCTGACCATGAAGTTTCTGCTATAAACTTTCTTGTTATATATGACTCAATAACAGGACATTCAGCCCTGCTGACTAGTACTTTTTAATGGCCCTTTGCAACAAAGGGTCTGCCAAGAGAGGAAAAAGGGCTAATCCATGCTCAATTGTTTTACAGTTTAAAGTTTTCATATCGCATTTTTTTTAAATGCACAAAATAGCCATAAATTTGCGGAATGGGCAGGAATAACAATCTAATGTCCCCTGAAAAGTTAATCCTCGCATCATCAAGCAACAGGATTTATCTGTAGATATTGTTGTTCCCAACAAATCTTTGCATCATCTCCATCAACGAATTGTAAGTCTATAATCAAAATCTACCTTGAATCTATCTCCTTTTTCTATCCTTATCACTATCAACCCAGTTCAAGTTCACTCCCACCTATTTCCACTGCTGTGGCGTCCTGACTAGTCTCTTCGTTTCCACCTGGACTCTCCCTCTTCCCCTTGCCAATCCTTTTTCTACAAGAAAAGCAGATCAATCTTTCTGAAGAGCTCCTAGGATGAAAACCAAAATCTTTTACATGACTTTAAGGGGCTCCACCATCTGTCCCTTGCTCATTTCCCCCCACTTATCTTTAAGTCTTCCAGTTCTGCTGTTTCTCATCTCAGTCTTTGCACATACTGTTCCTGCAAACTGAAATGTTCTTCTCCTACTTTACAGACTTTGGTTTCTCACACATTTCCCCAATTCCGTCTTCCCCTAATCTAAATCAGGTTACAATTTATATGCCTATATTTATTTGTATGGTATGGGTTTTATCTGACTTCCGCATTCTTTGAATCTGTGTAATGACTATATAGAGGCTCATAATACTATTCTCTCTACTTTTGTGCATATTTGAAATTTATCATAATAAACAGCTTTTAAAATTTCCCTCTGATCTTACAAACTGAAAACAATAATTACTGCCTGCAATTTTCATAAATTGGTTTTTCAATTTTGCATTTTAAAAAAATTTACTTTTCTTTCCATGATGAATTTTTGTATTTTTGTTTAGTAACTATATTTGAGACATAAAATGTCAATATTTTAAGATTCCAAGCAAGGTGTTGCCTGCAAGAAAGTCATATTGAAATTAACAACAGATAATCTAAAAGAAAGGTCTGAAATTCAATTGTTCTTTCACTGTTTTTGCTACTAAAATCTTTGATTTGAAAAGCAGCATTATTATTCAGTGAAAAGGACCCTAGAATAGGGATATAAAACTGCTGATCTAGTTCCAGTTTGTCACTTTGAGTGAATCATTTAACCTTGCTTCTTTTTTTAATAATTACTATAAGAAAGAGGTAAAGTTCTAAAATTTTATTTCAGATCTAAAATTCCATGTTTCCACAATTTGGAAGGCAAAAAGACGAAAGCTATTATAAACAATCCCAATGTTTATTTTTATTTATTTATTTATTTATTTATTTATTTATTTATTTATTTATTTATTTTTATTTATTTATTTTTTAAGCTGAGCCATCCTGCTACCTGTTGGCAGCTCAGTGGCTGCTCAGCTTGGGCCAGGCATCGAACCGCTGTTGCTCGGAGCTCAAACTCTTGAGCGAACTCTTAACCAACTGAGCCACTTGGCCAGCCCCTAATGTTTATTTTTTTTTTAAGTGAAACAATAACTCAAAAGAAAGTTTCTCTATTCATTCATAGGGACATGTCAGTGATGTTCAAACCAGCTGAATCTACAAAGCCAAGAACAGGGTCCACTCTATCTCCTTTAGCAGATCTGATACTTTGACTCTTATCTTTTCTGTTAACATATTTGTGCAACATGCTGTAGTACTGATCCTTCACATTGAAAGTGAACAGTGATGAAATCTGCTGCCAATCTTTCATGTTTGGGGTGTTGAATTCCTTGGGATCTGAGGACTCAAAGAAACATTTAATATTCTCTTCTGCCAATTTGGTTGCATGCGCTGTGGCTTCTCTTTTGAGGATCTGCTGCTCCTGTTCCAAATAGATTTTCCAAAATTTCAGCTGCATAAAACTAACTGGAGATAGGCATCGGGTGACCAATGTAAAAATCAGAAGGAAGATGATGACAGCTGCTATCAGGATCCAGCCCAGGACCTAGGAAAACACAACAAAATACTAATCTAGTCACCTGTTGTACAAAATAATTTTAAATCCTCAGATAAAGTTTGAATTACTCAGCAGTCATGATGATGAACAAGCAACAGTTTCAGGTCTCAATCACTTAAGAAAAAGGAATACCAGTAACTTCTCAAGCCTCTCAGTACAACTGCTGGCTTAGCAAGTTAGTTATATTCCAAGTCATATCAAGGGCCCAGAGAGATGCTTACATATCACTCCCCTAGAACTCAAAAAAAAATGTGGAATTTTGGCAAATCCAATCAATGATCAAGCACTTATTTGCAAGAACCTCTGAGTTTTATTTATATTCCCAGAAGCAGTGTAGGGAGTTTGTCTTTAAAGCCAGGCAGACCCATTTTATTGTAATAATTCGTCTGCCTTGTTCTGGCTGGGCAAACAACTTGACCGCTCTAAAGACATAAGAGAATAACATAGGAGGTAAAGGACCTAGTGGGGTGTCTGGCACAGAGTAGGTGCCTGTGACTGTATGAGTGCTTTTCCTCCTTTTCATTTTTTTCAAATATTTGCCTATCGGCTCATGAGAAGCAAGAAGCCACTCTACTTTGTCTTCGGTGTCATTTATCTGAGAAAAGGGCACCAATTTCTACTTTACCGGGTCCGCCCGGCAGATGCCCGCCCCTCTCCGCTCCTCCCCACCGCGTCCAGCGCCAGCGCCTGACCTGTGACTGGGCTCTGAGCTCCATCAGGAGGTCCTGCACTCCGGGAGCGCTGGCCTTCTGGCATGGCACCAGCGGCAGCTGGGAGGCGCACGCGGGGTCACGTCCAAGGCACAGACGCCGCGCCAGGACGTCGCTCCCACTGGCAGCGCATTCGTAGAAGGAGCCCCCGAGCAGCGCTACGGCCACCCACGTGAGGGGCGCGACTGAGGCCATCCCACCGAGCTGCGCACACACCAGGGCACCGCGCACGCTGCAGTTCGTGCGGGCGTCTCGGACGCAGCAGCCGGTCAGCAGGCGCCACGTGCGCGACTTTAGCACGTAGCCTAGGAGAAAGAGTGCCATCGCGGGGACCAGCAGGAACACCAGGCCGTAGGACAGGTTCCAGGTGGCGCTGCAGGGGCACTGGAACACTGCGGTGGAGAAGATGCGCTCCCCGCCCGCCGTCAGCAGGGTCACCAGGCCATAACCCAGAGTGCTGTGGTGCTTAAGGTGCAGGTCCAGCACCGCTCGAAACTTCTCCATGGGCCTCCTTCCTCAGGGCGCTGTGGATGCTTCTGCCTCTTCCCGGCCCTGCACCTCGGTTGGTTTGGGTGGGCTGGGGTCTAAGGATGTTTGCTAAGAAGCAGCTTCCAAAAAGGGAAGAGGTTTTCTCTGGCCTTATGAGCTTTCACTTTCTTATCTCAACCAAACCAGCCCTGATTGACAAATAGACCCAAGCACACACACCATTGACCACTCCCTTCCAGGGGCTGCCACACTAGTGACCTTTCTCTTCCAATTCAGGAACCCTGACTGAGGATGGACTCCATTCCATTGTAACCTTTGTTTCCACCCAGCATTGGGGGAGGAAGGGTAGGAAAAGTCCCCTGGTTGGTTGGGACTTTCCTTACCCTTCTTGCCCCAATGCAGTTGCCCAAAGCAAACAATACTTTTTGTATTTTCCTCTATTGCTGCCACTCCAAGCTTCTAAACCAACTCCAGTGAGACCAGTTACCAAAAAAACCTGATCATTTACAGGAGACATTATTCAAGGGCAAATATCTGATTTCTCTTTCATAAGCTAACTCACAAGAAAGCCCAGCTCAAGTTCTAGTACCTCCATGATGTTCTGTCCCCTTTCTGTCCCCCTTCTGAACAGAACCCCTGGCGTCATTCACCCTGACTGGTTTCTCCTCAGCCTGATCTCCCACAGAAAGAACATTAAACTAAATATATTGACTTCTACCTCCTTTTTTGTCCAGGTATGTCCTTACACTGTAAGTACCTGAAGGAGCGTCAAAATCTTTCTCTGTGATCACCAAGTTGATCACTGGGGGTTAGGGGTACATGGTTGTTAAAAAATACTTGAATCAAAAACATTTCAAACTGCAGCTACATCTAACAAACATGTTGTTTCTTCCACCTGTAGTTTTCTCAAAGCAGCATTGCTTTGACACAAACTGTAACCACTTCCGTGACACTGAAACTTACTCTGTGTGGCACCAGAGAGACATGAGATGTACTTGATAGAACAGGGCCTTTGAAGTTAGGTGCAGTGTGTGTGTGTGTGTGTGTGTGTGTGTGTGTGTGTGTGTGAGAGAGAGAGAGAGAGAGAGAGAGAGAGAGAGATAAGTTGAGAGAGATAAGTTAGCCCCATAAGACTCAGCTGTCTCAGTAGTAAAGCAGGATAATAGCACTCACTTTTCAAGACTGTTGAGATGAGTAAATTGAGTAGTATATGTCAAGCACCTTTATGTATAGGGTGTGCCTTTTAAAATGAATACTCAATGTGAGGGATTACCTCTTACATCGCAACTCTGGGAATTGATAACAAATAACCGTTGTACATAATTTAAGAATCTAAATGAATGCTCAGTTTTAGGCCAAGGATCATATTTAGTGACTCATTGATTCTCTACTACCTTAAGAGAATTGGTGTGCCTTTAGCTGTCTAGCTTCCTGCAAAAAGGGTGTCTGGATATGGAGTCTGGATGGGCAGGTCACAGTGGACCAGTTGCTGTTGACACCCATCCACTAGGTTTGCTTTATTTATTTTGGGGGGAAAAGTAGCTTATGGAATTGAGTGACCTGTTAGAGAAGGGTCAAGAAATGTATTATTCTTTTCTTAATTCAACTTGCCTTCTTTGCTACTTCCCACCACTAGTGCCTGGCATACGACTGCCATTCCAAAGCATTTTGATGAATAGCTATGCTCACTACGTGAGTCTTCAGAAGCATGCCCAGATCGTACAGGACAGTGGGCCCTGTTCTCTGAGATTAGACCAGGTACTGCCAGGCTTCCTATATCCTAGCAGCAAAGTTGTGTTTGAGTCAAATCACTTCTGCTCTATCATCTCTGTAATCTTACATCTCAAAAAAAGAAAAATCCTTCTTCCCTTGTCCCTCATGTGAGTGCTCTTCTTACTGCTAGAGTCTTCTTCGCCCCGCCCCGTCCTCTTCTGAGGTGTTGCCTCTTCCTCCACACTTTCCATATACCATCAGGAACAAATCCCACTATAGGAATACCTTGGTTTGCGAGCATAATTCATTCCGGAAACAAGCTACTCGTATTGCAAGACATCACTTGTTTACCACGTTCAAATATATTAGAAATGTTTGCTCGTCTTGCAGAACACTTGCAAACCAACTTACTCGCAATCCAAGGTTTTACTGTATACCCACATTTCTGCAGATGGCTTTATCCAAATGTCCCTTAACTGTAACCTAATGAAAATGTATCTTCCCATCCTCTTAAGTGAGGTTTATTTATTCTCCCACATTTCTCAAAGCAAGAGGGGAGGGCTGGCATTCTCCCTAGCCTATGTCCAAACCTGGGCTTTCCCACCATTCTCCAATAGTTCGTTTTCCACTGAGGCTCAGGCTATTCAGCATGACCTCCATCCTCACCTGCTTCCAGCTCTTCATTCTCTGCATTTATTAAGACTTTTGCATCTGGCAACAGCCTTCCTTTTCTCCCTGGCCCCAGTTATTTAGTCAAGGATTTGGTTTTAAATATTTTTAGTTATAGAAACTTTTATCTTGTCAGTCCCCTATCCCAAATAGAGTAATTCCTTTTTAGCCAATTTATTAATTAGTTCATTTGTTTATTCAATCATGTATTTCAATGTTTAATAAGCACCTAGAATGTGCTAGGCACTGATTAAAGTACCTGGAATTATTAGATACAACAGGAACAAGATAAACAGACATCTTTTTTTAAAAAAATTTTTTATTGTTAGTTTCAGGTGTACAGAACAATGCAATAGTTATCCTTTTCACCCTCACAAAGTAACAACCCCCTCCCCCATGTACTGCCCTCTCACCCCCGATATCATGCTTATCTACTACAATTCCATTGACTCCATTCCCACTCTCTACTCCATGTCCCGTTACTATATGACAAACAGACATCTTGCTTTCATTGAGCTTATATTATAGTGGAGAAGATACAGATAATGGGGCGGGGGGAGAGGGGGTTGGGAGTCCTCAAGTCATGCAGATAATTATAATGGAATCATGTGGTAGAGAGTGTCCTGAGAAAGCTTCTAGGAGGAGAAGATATTTAAGCAGAAATTTGAATGACCAAGGCTCTGGGATACCAAGGAGCTTGGTATTCTGTGGTTGGAAAGAAAGTCAGGGTGGTGGGAGCAGTGAGGTTGAGGAGGAAGGTAGCACATCATGAGGGCAGAGCTACAGGTAGGAGGTCAGGTTTAGGGGCTTTATAGACCAGAGTATGTAGTTTACTATCCTGCCTCTGAAACTCATTACAGACTGAGCTGCATTCCGACCTATTATCTTGTTATATTGTGTCTCCAAACACTACATCCTGGGGTTGCCACCACTGTGCTCCCCCAGTCATGGATCCCCCAGATACTGGTGATCATTCTGTCCTTATTACAGGTTCCCATAGCCATGAAAGTCTGGGTTCTGCCTGCCAGCCTGAATTTTCTCCCAGCACACGCAGTTGAGTCTAGTACCCTGCCATCCACCCCCACCACCTCTGGAAAAGTGGGGTGGTTCTACTTCTGGGTCTATTGAAGTTCACCCAGCCCTTGATACCCAGCTCTGCTCTGAGAGAACATGGCTCAAAAGTTCAGCCCTTAGTGGAAATATGATAACTTACTAATGGTGTGGAGGGGATTCAAGAATTTTCTCTGAGAGTAGACTATTTAATATTTGAAAGACCCTTACACTTTTGAAAATCTATAATTGAACATCAATTTACTTTAGCTTTTAAGAAATGAGTGAGAGATTCTCATGTTAAGCACATTAGAAAAACCAATGGTTATGGGTTTAGTTTTAACTGTAGTACTTTTGTTTCTCCAAACTCATTATCAGTGTCAGGAACTACAAAACATTTCTCAGAAAAGAAAGCAAACGAAACTCTTGAAAGGAAGTACACATTTATAGTGTGAATCTGAAAGTTCCGTGCAATCATGTTCAAGCTAGCTCTTAAGAATCATTCCCTATAGCTCTCACGTGAACTCAGAATAATGGGATGGCCTGGTTGGAATATGACTGCTAGATTCTAGCAAAATGTCAGTCCTGGCCCCAAGATCCACCCATGGGAGTAAAATCAAATTAAGGTTCACATGTCTTTTAAGTATCCACCATGTATGTGCAAGACCCAAGTTTAGATGTGAAAATTAACAAGTAAATTTACAAAATCTGACACTCTTAATCTTAAAGAATACTTTTCTGCATGTTATACTTTGTAGATACATTGTTTATGTTAGGGAATATATTTGAAAATCTGGAACCTATTGTTAATTTAAGATTTTTGAATGTCTACAAACGTTCTTCCTATGGAAGTATAAACAGAAAGAGAAAAAGATCAAACCTTTTCCTTGGCACAGGAGTGTCATTTGTTAAATGGCAATCCCACCACATTTCAAATGCCACCCTTGTGGCAACCTGTAGCTAAGTCTATCCAGAGAGAAACAGAGCAACACCAAGGAGAAGAGAGGGCAAGTTTCAGGTACAGCTGAAGGGCCACCTGGTCACCCACTGCAACCCACTTTCATCAGTGTCACCAAGTTACGGGGATGGGGGTGGGAGTGGGGGTGGAGCTGCAGGCCTTCCCAGAGCAGGGACTCACCCACAACTTCCTCCTGACCAGCTCAGCTTGTTTACTTAGAAGAGCTGTCTGGTATGTAAGTAGCACTCATCTTCCCCACTACCTTCCGAGTTTCCCCGCCATCTTTCCCTACCCACACATAACTGAAGTACTTAAGGGATGGAATTTCTTTTTACTTGAACTGTAGACAGCAACCAAAGGGAAATAACTACTTTTCTTTATATTTTATTAGATTCTTTAAAGAGGTTTCACTTCCTTTCTTGGAAGCAATGGACCAAGCCTGAGCCTGAATAGGTGTTGCTGACCACCAGACTGAGAGCTTCACTATCTGTGACTCTACTTTGGCATTTGACCTCCTCCTCCAGTAGTGCCACGCACCTGCAGTACTTACCTTATTGTTAATCTTACGTTAACGATTAAGTTAATTATTAACTTAAGTAATCTTAAGTTACTATTATTAAGTTAATTTAAATTTGGCTGTTGATTGCACTCTTCTGGCTCTCCTCCTAACTCAGTGACTATTCATCTAAGTCTCCCTGCAAGGCTCCCCCGCCTCCTAACCTTTAATATTGGTAGTCACTACAGTTCAATCCTTTGGCAAACACTTCCTAAATGATCTCCTCTTGGAGAC